ATTTATTGTTCTTCTTAAGAACTACTACTATATTGGCTAGCCAGTCTGGATATCTTACCTCTCAAACTGAACCAATTTTAAGCAAGCGAGTTATCTCTTCTTTGACGAATTTATTCCTGGCCTCAGCAATAGGGTACTTCTTCTATCGTACCGGTGGTACGTTGGGATCCAAACTCAGCTTATGCACGGCTATTTCCGTCGGGATACATGTCATATCCTTGTGCGACCATGCAAAATAATCAGCGTTAATTTTAAGGAATTTAATAAAACTATTCCTGTTCCGAAGTGAAATTTTCTTTCTAAAAATTCTTCGAACAATGACACTTGCTCTAGTTCCTCTACCGTGGATTTCGTTGCATCCATCTCTTTCGGAACTTGGATATATCTCGGCACCTGATACTGTTCTGATGATTCTGCCCCTAGAATAACCTCTTCTAACTTGGGATTAGGCGTCGATTCCTGTAATTGCTATGTCGTGCGCTCCTTCCCTTTGCTGCTGGAAACTGAGATTGCATTCATCTCCCTTGCTTCCAGTTGGTTACATCTTATCTGCTTGATTCCTTCGGGTATTGGAAACTTCAGTAATTGGTGATACGTCGAAGGTACGACTTTCATCTCGTGTAGCCATGGCCTTCCCAAGATAATGTTGTATCCTATATCACCATCCACTACTTCGAAGAGAGTTATTTTTATTACTCCTTTAGCGTTCGTGAGCAGCAGGATATCTCCCCAGGTCGTCACACTCGCAAGGTTTAATCCAGCGAGGAGTCTTTCTGCCGCAATAATGCTTCCGATGAGTTTAGCTTGTTCTAATACCCTCCATTGTATGATATTGGCTGAACTTCCTGGATCCACTAGAACACGCTTAATTTTAAAATCTAACACATTTAAAGAGATTACCAGTGCATCATTGTGTGGTAACAGTAATCTGTCTGCATCTTTCTCTGTGAAAGTGATATCGTCCTCCCGAAGTCTTTTGCTGTGAGTTATCGATACTTTAGTCTTCTTTGCCGCCGAAAAGATGACCCAATTAATTTTGTCCCCCCACCCCCCAAAGATCATGCTCATCATCTGGTGTAGGGCTTCTTCTCCTGCTTTCGAAGATTCTGCATTGTTGCGACCGTAATTGTTCTTAGCTCGATCACTCAAGAATTCTCGGAGATGGCCATTCTTTAATAGTGTTTCCACCTCCTCCCTAAGATGTCGGCAGTCCCCTGTCCGGTGACCGTTCGTCCCGTGGTATTCGCGTCATAAATTGGGATCATTCGGGCTAGAATCGGACCTCATAGGTCTCGGGAATCGTGCTTCTTTAATGTTCCTCATGGCTGACACCAGTTCCACTACACCGACATTGAAGTTATATTCAGACAACCTGGGGTAAGAAAGGTCTCGAGGCCCCGACGTTTGTTTATCTTGAAGTAATATTTTGTTAGACCACGATCAGTCCCTCCGTCAGCAGTGAACTTGTTTGCTGCTCGAAAATTTCTGCCACGGCCTTCGGTACGTTCGTAGGGAAAAAATCGACCCCTTGAAGTCTGCATATCCACGTCGTAGTCATCCTTTGATTTTTCTCTGTTCTTCTCCCGTCCTTTGGCTAATGATGTAGAACCGACCTGGTCATCTTCGATCCTTATCTTTAACTTATACCGGTTATGTACATCTACTAAGGTTGTTGCTTGAAACTCAAGCAGGCTTTCTTTCAGCTTCCGGGAAGCGTCTGAACTTCTTGGATTCAATCCTTTGGTGAATGCTTCAGGTGCCCATTTATCCGGGACGACCGTGAGCAACATTCTTTCTTTCTGGAATTGGGTGACAAACTCTCGTAACAATTCCGATTCTCCTTGTGCGATTCTGAATATGTCGGCCTTCCCGGCTTACACCTTTCTGGCTCCGGCATGAGCTTAAATGAAAGAATCTGTAAGCATCTCAAAGGAATTTATGGAATGCTCAGGCAATAACGAATACCACATTAGGGTTCCCCTCGTGAGAGTTTCGCCGAATTTCTTTAGCAACATCGATTCGATTTCGTGAAGAGCTAGATCATTTTCTTTCACCACCATTGTGTAGGTGGTAATATGTTTAGGATCAGTACTGGTGCCGCACTTGGCTTGTACGGTAATTGGACATACTTCTTCGAGTTCGGGCCTTTCAATACTGGTGGTGCGCTCGGGATTTGATCTATGCGGGCATTTACTTCCCTCATGAACCGTAAAATCTCATCTTTGAATGAATCGTTCTTGTTGTTAAGACCTGATCTGCTCCCCCCAGCGCCATCGAAGCCGACTTCACCTCTGGGAGTGTTTTTATTGATTCTTTGTGTTGTTTGGTCTGCGGGAACAGCGGGAGGAATCAGATCGCGCTTGTTTGTATTATTCGAAGCACCTGATAGCGTCTGCTTCAGTTCCGTCATAACCTGATCCTGCCGCGTGAGATCGCCTAGAATGATTGCATGTTGCTCTTGCAGGATCCTCACAGCATCCGCTACCTACTCCTCGTCAGCATCATCGGGAGTTCTTTCCCGAACCTGTCGAGGGTACCGTCTGTCATGCACCGACGTGGCATCATTCCCCCTAATTGCGTGTGTCACTGATTGAGTCCTCGAAATGAGGTTGATCCCCTCGAATTTCGGGGTTGTGTGCATCGTTAACAGTGTTATCTGCCATTTTTCTTAGACAAAAATAGTAAAAATATATTAGTAAAAGAGGCAAGGATCAATTTAATTGCACGACTGTCTAGGCCCCACGGTGGGCGACAAACTATTTACCCGTAAAACGGTACAGTTGAATTTATACGTGGTTTCTAGACAAGAGAACTAATTTGATCCTGAAATAAAATAATAATCGAAGAAATATGCAGTACTTAACTTTGGAATGTAGATGAAATAGCAAAGATAGTGATTCCGTGAACACGGTTTCCGAACGCAACAATGTTGAGATCAAAAATCAAGATAGTGAAATTGTATAAAGCTTTGTATAGAATATAATATGTGTTCTTGCCAGAAATTTCATGTTGTTTACAATGGTAGCTGAACTCACTATTTATAGCTATGTCTAGGGGAAAAGGTCATAGGATCATGCCCTCTTTTAATACCAATTATGAGGGTCATTGATTGAGATATAACGTTGAGTATAAATATCAAATTCTCTGTAACGGACTGTCGCTTTTAATGCTGTAGAATATTCCTTAGTAAATGCTACTGGACGCACAACTTTTAATACACTTTTATGAACGTTATCCGTTCCGGTGACAAACATAGTGGCTGCGTTCGATCCTCTACCATCCCATCTTGAATTCCACGTGTCCTGCTTTTAGTCAGCCACGTGTCATATCATATTTTACCCTATACAATGATTAGCCTTACAATGCATTTTCGTTAATTTGCGCTTTAAGCCACTAATTAATTGAACTATTTTCCAGGAAGGAATTAAAAAGATCAGCTGCACTGAATATCCCCGCGAATTCTTTCATTACCATTAAAAATGATTCCTGATCTGTACAGGCCGTCCTACCAACAGCAGCTTTACAAGTGATAGCAAATTGCAACAAACTCATTGTTTCATTCAAGTCAATGGGTTTTCCTACTTCTGCAGCTGCAATTGACTTAACCAGATCACGCACCTCGTCAAACATCATAGGTAAAAACGAGTGGATCCTCTTCAGACCAAGGAGTTCCGAGTTACAAATTTTGCGCAGCTGTCTCCAGAAGTCACCGTACAGAGCGAATGCCATATATATCAGAAAAATCGTACATCATTATCTTCCCAATGAAAAGCTCTGGCCTGTTAGAGAAAATGAGATCATGTGTTTTGAAAAGTTGTCTGGCCATGGAAACTTCAGCAGATGAAACTACAAAAACCAAACGTTGGCCGAGTTTTAGGTGCATCAAAGGCCCGTACTTAGCTGCTAATTTACTCAGAGCAACATGTGGTTGGAACTCTGATGATCCGAGGCAGAGCAGTTGGTGCAAGTTCCCGATCAGTGGGAGCTATTTCTGCTTACTCTTAGCATATTTGTTGTACCCTTTGATTATTATGAAACATAAGGGTAACAGCACAAGGAAAATGGAAACGAAGAAAGATGTCTGGATTTCCATGGGATTCTGAAAAAAGATTGAGAGGTTCCCAAAAACCAAGTATGCTTAACTTGCCAGGTTTTTGAGACGTATTCTTTCTGATTCCCTCACTATACAGTTCCATTTATTTAACTTACATACCCCGGCAGATAGCACAAACATTTTTACATTATCCTGTCACTCAAAAGATAAACGCTTCATAAAAAATGGTATGTTATATATTGAAGCTTTCTTAGTATGATTTATATCTCTTGTGTAATTTGCGAGCTACTTAACAGTAAGTAATTACCCCGCGCACATCCAAAGAATAGCAGTTCTGGGAACTTTTCAATTTACAACCTGACAGTGTAAAATTATTTATATGGTTAAAGAATAATAATAAAGTAGCTAGGGGACAATCAGATAGCACCGAGCGGAGCGAAGAGAAGTGGACTAATTTAAAATATTGTTTTGGTCTATGGCCATATATATTGAAGAAAGTATAGGGAGTTTCAGATTTATAATCAGTGAGCCACGCTTACGCAAATTTAATATTTCTCGTTCCTATCCGATCGAATCTTCAGATTTCACGTGGTATGAAGATTTTTATTCAGAATTTTAAGAGATTAAAATAAAAAGAGCTGTTATGACTATATTAAATTGTTGTCCATTTAGAATTTATAAGAAGCTTGCAATCAAAGTAAGCTTGCAAGCAACTCATTCAATGACTACATTTTTGTTTGTGCTTTTATTTTATCAAGATAGGATAGAAATAAAGGTGCGAGGTAGCTTAAAGCATTTGACATCACACAAAGCAAAAACCCACAAAGTTTTTTCTTAAAAAGCCTCACACCATTTTTTTCTGAATTTGTTTGCTCACCCAACAACTTTGTCAATCAAGTGGTGACAAGATTTGGATGTTGACTGACAAATGGCAAATCAAACATTCTAAATATAACTCTAATTATTTCAACAATCTAACTGAAGGTCTCACTACATTTTACAAAATAACTAACAATTAATTAAGTTGAAGTACAGAGACAAAAGGAAGTTTTCCAAATGCTTTGTGATCAATGAAACACAATTGGTGATAGAGATAGCATCAGGATAAGCTAACATTCAGTTTAAGAACAATAAAACTCATTAAAATCTGCTTCGGGTTTCAGCATCGGCCATTTGGCGAGACTCTTAGGCTTGTTTTGGGGATAGGTCGACTGGTTTGTAAAATAATGTGTTTATATTACTCTTGAGTCCCTCTGGAGAGCGAAACTCATTGCCGTTTGAGTATAGAATATGAGCTACTTTGCTCGTGTTCCAAAACAGATCTTTGCATACTTGCGGCAACTGACTGCTTTCTTTCTTATGAAGCACCATTCTCAGCAATTTTCTTCTGTTCATCTCCAGCATTTCTTTTACCTGTTCTACTGCCTCTTCTTCCGAAACCGTTCCTTCACTTTGTGTTACGAGTATGTTCACTATGTTACTTGACCTCTCTTCTTTTTCTTTCTGCAACCAAAAGATATTGTTAAATAGATATTTATAGTGTAACCGGTAAAGTTGTTGCACATAGCGGGAGCTTAGTACAGGTGATGTTATATATTTATAGTGTAACTACCAAATGAATGAAGAACTCACCTTGTAAGTTTGAGTGTCATTAAGGAGTCTACACACCATAGTCGTACATTTGCATATTTCACCAAGTTCAGCACTTTTTATAACCTCCTCCGAAAGTTTTGGCGCGAGAACATATTGTGTTGTAAAAAGAATAGCTTTGACAGCTATAGTAACACAGGCAATTGACAAATATTCTTCTACACTTGGTGTCTTCTCTTCTCTCCACCATTCTACTTCTCTCATCATGCAATTCAGAACATCAAGAAACTGTCCAGAGTATATATATCACTCCTTTCAATTAGAAGCAAATGAGAGAAATCACTAACCAAAAAATAAATTACCAGACTATAGCGTACCAAGTCAAATATTTGATCTTTCACACATCGACCTTGCATAATCTCTGCCTTGGCTGCAAACTCATTAAATGTTTTGTATATTGCTAAAAATAAAATTTCAACTCTCTCTGAAACGTAGCCTATGGTTGAATACCGATTCCAGCTGTAAATAGATAAAGTTATGTAACAATTCTCAAAAATAAAGAAAAATTATGGATTGAAGGACAAAGGAACTGATTTTTTGGAAAGAATAAAGAGAACGAAAACTGTTATAGTACCCTTTTACTAATTCGATTAGGTTGAGCAGCTCCTCTTGGGAAGCCAATTCATCGAAAAAATCATCCAATGGAGTTGTGAGCAAAACGTATTTTGCAAACACGGAACGAGCATCCGAGAATTCAGGCCCGAAGAGTAATGAAGACATTGGCATATATGAAGTGTATATATATTTTGGTGAAATTCCTAATTGGTCTAGTTTGCAATCTTCATACCACCTACAGAAAGTTTGAATAAATAAAAAAACTAAATGATAGTAAAACATATTGGGGAGCAATTAGCGTCTAAGTATGTCATGTTCGATTCAAGAAAGCTGGTAGTGATACCTCTTGAGTTCTTGAATATCTTGCTGGTGTACTGTTTGGCATATATTAAAATCATGCATAGAGAATAGTATGAAATCCCTGTTGTATATGTTGGGGGACCTAAGAGAAAGAAAACAATAAATTGCATTGTTAGAAATGGCAGGAACCAATAAAGCAATTTTATATAATGACACCCGAAAACTACTCGTAAATGAATTTTAGGTATAAATCAATCCTAAAAGTTAGCTCATAAGGTGAAAAATACACTAAGAACTAGACATTAGGAAGATAGACAACGTGACATTTGGAGCCCAACATTGGGTACACAGAATAGGGATAATGGTTTGACCTTGATACCATGTAAAGAAAATGAGCCTACCTCAATTCTACAAGCTAGCTCATGAAGTGAGAATCGTCGAAGATCATATAAGGAAACAATACCACATTTCCTCAGTGACGTTTAACGAATCTATCTTTGAAGTAATTACAATGTAGCTTCGAAGAATTTCTACTTGGATGCGAGTCCTGTTAATTGATTGTCTATCTATTCCTATTGTCCATACCCCTTTTTTTTTTTTAACAAAAGTCCACCATTGGTGGAATTGTCCATACTACTTTTACATTATTACGATAAATCCAGGCGTGCACATACATTGTTTTTTAGATTAAAAAAATGGAGGAGATTTTGTTTTATGGTCCATCACAACTGTTATTTTAATTATAAGACCCTGTTCAAAGGAGATTAGTTAAAAATAACACAAGATATCTGTAAACTAAACACGAGATCTTATACCAAATTGTAAGTGAATATAAGAGATTATATCATCTGAAAAAACGGATAGAAATAATAGCGAACATAGGCATGTATGAGTCCAGAGAACCGAACCTTTACCTGTAAGCTGTTTTTGAAAATTTGAACATATTTACATCATATGACTCGATGTATCGTCTATTTTCGGCTCGTTCAAGGGTTGCACTGAAATTCCTCAAAGCGTGTTCCACCTAACGATATTTAATTTGCTCAAGATTATGATCACTCTCTTTGTTCATGGGATTTAAGCGTGACGATGTATTTAGAAATTGATAGTAAAAAATGAAAAACAATAATGAAATATCTTAGTATCAATGAATATAATCACGAGGTTGTTTGCTCTTAATTAGAAGTAATATACCTCGTTTTGTGACATCCTATCNACAAAATTACCTCTTTGGACTAACTTGTGTCCGACACTCCATTTGGAGAGAGCAAGCAAACAAGCCAGAGTAGAAGAAAGGGAGTCTTTCACAAGCAATGAGTGGGTAGGACTCAAACCCCAAGATCCATCTTCTCTCTGATTTTCAAGGATCCAATCCAAGCACTGTGCAAAACATGGCTGCTTTGGCTCATCTCTTGAAGGGACCATGGCTACCCAAGCAGTGTCATAGCAAGATGGAGATATCTCAATTTTCCCAAATATTTTTCTTATTCTCTCCTTTACCTCTTGGGGCCGTACCTGTAGTCATTACAATTAATTAGAGGTTAAAAATGTGATTAAATAAACTAAAAGGTACAGTTATCCAAATCCAAACAGTTATCCATTGGAATAAGCTTAAAATTATGTACCGATGATGAAGCATGGTTGCAGTTGCATCTTACTATGGACGGCCTGTGGTGAAATACGTATCCTTTGAATAAAAGGGAGAAAAAAGAAAAACTAAATTAAGAGCATGATCGATTACCAAAACAGACGGACAAATTAATTAATCTAATTTGTTATCGAAATGAGTTATGAAGAACAAAACTTGCCATTTGTGACTTTGTAATCGGAGAGGCATATGGTTTTGCTTCTGCTGCCAATGTGTAACATGTTTACTAGCACCAAGAAAAAGTAAAAGATTTTGAGTTAGAAGAGTGAAAAAAGACTTGAATTAATATTAATGATGAAGCGAACATAGACATGGAACAATATAGTAAAGTATCCAAAATATAGAGGTCAGTTTCGATCTTTGGTATACGCACACGTGTGTTTCTACTTTCTCTGTTCTTTATGAGCTCTATCTGCTAAATATTACTGAGTTGAACCGCTGACCTCTTATCTGGTAAGGACCAACAAAACCAGAGCGCCTAAAACCAGTTTTTATGTCGTACTAACAATAAATAATTAGACCTATTTTGATTTAAGTTGGTCAAAGTTTTGCAAGTTGAATGAAGTGCAGCTATTACATTATAGTTTTTACTGTTCTATTCGGGAGAAATTATTCCACAACTCCGGGCTACAGTTAGAAAATTAAATTGCTTAAGGACTCTTTCGTTTGCTTGACCGGTATATCTGATCAGAAAAGATGTCAACGAATATAATTTAATTTTACTTTTGTTGCGTGACTCACATTGTTAATCACGGAAAAAATTGAATCTCTTCGTTAGTATCATAACTGGTGATTAAAGTCTCATAAGGTACAGTCACTTCCGCTTCAAGAGAACCAAGATAAAACCAAAATCTGAAGATTGTTCGCACCTTCTGCTATATTTATTTTAATAAAGTGAAGACAATTTGCATATAACAACACTTTCAATTAATAAATATTATCAACATAGCTTACATAACAAATTTTTAAAAAATAAAAACAATAAAAAAGCATGTTCTTGAGTGAAAAATCCTCTTCATGATCCCGTACAAACATACCAACAAGTCCATATATCTAATCCAAACTTATCTAAGAGCTCGAAACACCACGAATAATATCAAAACCAAAAAGCGACGATCAAAATCCTTCTCTTAAGTTCAAGAACTTCCGACTTCCAATCAAGCGTCTGATTCAAGCCTAACAAATCCTGATTCCAACCAAACTTCGCACACAAGTTTCAAACCACTATATGAACCTATTCCAAGTCCTCAAATAATGATCCAAGTCCGATATCATTAAAGTCAACTCTCGGTCAAACTTATGAACTTTCCAAACCGTCAAATTTGCCAACTTCGGGCAAATAGAGCAAAAACGTCCTAGGAACCTTTAAATCCAAAGCCGAACAAACAGGGAGTCCAAAATCACCATACAAACATACTGAAGTCACCAATCCGAGGTTGTCTACTCAAAAGTCAAACCTTAGTCAATTCTTATAACTTAAGCTTCTAAAGATAAAACTAAGCGTTCCAATCATTCTCAAACCTTCATGAAGCCAACTAACCAATTTCGTAAGTCACAAACCACAAATACATATATGGTAAGCATCAAATAAGAAAACGGGGTTTAAATAAACAAAATAAATTGATCGGATCGTTACAGTTTGGTATAGACCCCAAACATGTGTATTAATCAAAAACTCAGTGGAGGAGGACTTAATGCCAATACCTCCATCAAAGACGTACACAACTTTATTTACTAGGTACATGGGAAGAACCAAGTCTACTGCCACATGTACCCAGCATCAAATCTACAAAAAGACTCCTCTCTCAAAGACAAAAAAAAAATTACAGCAAAGATATAATATTCGCATATAAAACTCCTGCAAACTACAAAACTTTGGCAGCAACTACGTACTTTGAAGAGGTTATTGGGAAAAATAATATCTCTGTCCAAGAATAATATTCGCGGTAATAACAATATCACAAGCGAGTAATAACGATACCAAATTTATTAACGGGATAAAATACAATACCCAAGCGAAGCAATATAATATTATTATAATATTGTAACTTAGTAGTATCATGGGACTACTACAACTTCGAAAGAAATAACACTCTTTATTTTAAACACCTCACTACGATATTATTGTCACTCTCTATTTATCTCACAGACTACAATCTGTGAATTACTCTCTCTATTGCGCTCTCTGATTTTAGTATGTTTAAAATGAGGCAGCATCGTCATGAATGAATGCTCTCCAAAACCAATCAAAATTGGTTATGTCGCCTACTTGCCAATTTGCAATCTTGCAAATTGGTTAACAACTTGTTCCACCGCCCAAGTTACTTCCTGTAACTTGTTGTAACCAAATTGTGAGTTTGTTTATTTTCTTTAGCTTCTTTTCTTTCTCTTTTATTTGATGAGGTTAACCCCACAAATTTTTCCCTTAATTTTAATTTTTCTTTTTCATTTCAAATCTTGATCTCAATCTCTAAAAATCTTTAAACTTGATAGGCTTTGTAAAAATATCCACAGCTTGATCATGAGACTTCACATATTTGAGCTCTACTTTCTTATCGGAAACACATTGCCTTTGCTTGTAACCTTTAGTCACAAGTCGTGCTTTGTATCTCTCCATATCTCCATCAGCATTCTTCTTTGTCATGTATACCCATTTCACTCCAATTGCTCGATTACCCTTGAGAAGAGTTGTTAACTCCCAAGTGTTGTTCTTCTCTATTGACTCGATCTCCTCCTCCATTGCTTGTCTCCATCTTTTGTCTGTAACAATTTTATCAAAGTTTATTGGTTCACTATCAACAAAGAGACAATACAAAAAATCAAAATTAATAACTTTTTTTGTGCCATCATAGAGCTCTCGAATACTCTTCGTCCTCTACGGGTGTTCATTTGAACTTTTTTGAGAAGAAGAAGATGCAACATTAGTTGGTGAAGGAGGTGGAGTAGCAGCTTGCACAGGTTCCACTGTCTCTGGTTCTTCTTCATCACCAAAGTGTGAAATAAAATCAAATGAAGTTTCTTCCTGAGCCTCCCAATTCCATGCCAATTCTTCATTAAATTTAATATCACGACTCACTACTACCTTGCCACTGCTTGGATTGTATAGCTTGTAGCATTTTGAACTCATATCATAGCTAACAAATACATGCTTGACATTTCGATCGTCAAGTTTCGCTCTCCCTTGTTGTTGCACATGGGCATATGCTATGCTCCCAAAGATTCTCAAGTGCTTGACACTTGACTTTCTTCCACTCCATGCTTCTTGAGGATTTTGATCTCTACCATTTCTTATTGGAGACCTGTTGTTCAAATAAACTACACAAGAAATAGCTTCTGCCCAAAATTCTTTGGGCATACTTTTAGCTTTTAACATGCATCCAGTCATATTAAGAATCGTTCGATTCTTTCTCTCTGTAACTCTATTTTGTTGGGGTGAATAAGGTACCGTTAGAGGGCGACGAATTTCATGAGACTGAAAAAAGTCATTAAATTCTTTTGAAGTGAATTCGCCTCCTCTATTGAACCTTAAAGCTTTTATTTTATAGCCACTCCCTTTTCCACAAGTACTTTAAAAATTTTAAAGCAGCAAAAGTTTCAGACTTTTGGTTCAAGAAATAAACCCAAGTCTTTCCGCTAAAGTCATCAATGAAAAGCAAAAAGTATTTACTTTTACCAAAGGAAGGTAGATTGATTGGTCCGCACATATCAGTATGAAAAAGATGGAGCAGCATGGTTGATCTTGACATGGCTTCCTTTGGAAAACTCCTCCTTGCATATTTTCCAAGAAGACAAGCTTCACACGATTGATTTGAATGGTTGATTGATGGTATCCCACGCACTATGTTCTTTTCTCCCATTGATTTGATGGCTTCAAAATTCAAGTGCTCAAATTGCATGTGCCAACACCTTGATTCATCTTGCACATTAGCCTTCAAACACTTTACATCAGTTGTCTTAAGATTCAGAGAAAATAATCGGTCCTTTGCCATATGCACTTTAGCAATTAGAATTCCACTTGAATCTCTAAGCCAAAGATGCATATTTTTCATGTTGATATCATATCCCTTTTCAAGAAGTTGTCCCAAACTCAAAATATTACTTTTTAATTTTGGCATATAATAAACATCTTGAATTAACTTGTGGCCACCATCTTTACAGGAGATTAGAATTGTACCTATCCCTTCAAATTGAATATTTGAGGTATCTCCAAAGGACACATTACCTCTCACCATCTTATTGATTTTTACAAACTTATCTTTGCATCCACACATATGATTGTTTGCTCCATTGTCCAAATATCACGAGCCACAATCTTCCCTATCTTCTTCCTTGAGTGCCAACAATAATGTTGACTCATCTTCTTCCTTATTGTTCTCAACAAGGCTAGCTTTCTGTTCAATGTTGCTACGACATTCCCAAGAGTAATGGCCAAATTAATGACAATTATAACACTCAATTTTGATTTGTCATACTTTTTGTCCATTATTTTCTTGATAGTAGCCGCGTCCTCTTCTTCCTATTTGTCCACGACCATGACCTCTGAATGTTTGGTAGATTTTAACTTCATTGTTGAAGTTTTTACCAGTACTTCTTCCTCTTTCATAACCACCACGACCTCGTCCTCGTTTATTTCCTCGATAACACTTTTCACCTTCATAGTCTTTAAAGGATGCTTGAGTTTTAAGAAGTTGCTCCAGTGGCACTCTTGTCTCCTCTTGATCTTTTCTTCATGTGCCTGTAAAGAACCCTCCAATTTCTCCACCGTCATTGAGTCTAAATCTCTAGACTCCTCAATAGCACATACCACAAAATCAAATTTAGGTGTTAAAGTGCGAAGGATCTTTTCTACCACACGGACATCTTCTATGTCCTTCCCGTGTCTTCTTAATTGATTTATAAGAGTCTATACTTTTGAAAAATAATCTGAAATGGATTCAGATTCTTTTATTTTTAAAACTTCAAAATCAGCCCTTAGAGTTTGAAGTTTTACCTTCCTCACATTGTCAACTCCTTCGAGAGAATTTTGTAAAATCTCCCAAGCTTCCTTTGTGGTGGTAGCATCTGTCATCTTCTCAAATATTGCATCTTCCAAACATTGGTGGATGAGCGTGAGAGCTTATTGATCCTTGTTCCTCGTCTTTGCCAAGACCTCTTTTTCATTTCGAGGTAGAACTTCCTCATTATCGTGTTTTGCATACCCTCTGTCTACGATTTCCCACACATCCTAAGAGCCAGGAATGACTTTCATACGTAGATACCATTTCTCATAATTATCTTTTGTGAGACGAGGGTACTGAAAAGACAACGGACTATTACTCGCCATGACTCTGATACCACGTTGTTAGGAAAAAATAATCCCGTCCAGCAATAATATTCACAGTAAATAACAATATCAAAAGAGAGTAAACGATACCAAATCTTTTAACTGGGTAAAATACAATACTCAAGCAA